CTCCAACGTGAAGCCCCAAGCCAAGATGAGTTTGATTTCTTTTGGTTAATCCTTAAAATTAAAGTATGGATTTGGTTAATGAAGACTTAGGAAACATGATGGAGACGAAAAGGGTCATAGAAACTCAATGATTTGTAAGTTATGAAGGATTAAAGATAAGAAGTGGATAAGTGAAATTTTGAATAAAGATGTATAAATGGATTTAGAAGCTGAAATTGATTTTTCATAGGTGTGAAAAATAAGTTATAAGCGTTAAATCAAACTTTGGATAACATGGAAAATTGGGTATGATTCTTAACTTTAAGAATTTGGATGAAATATAGGAGATTATAAAGTGTTGGAATTATAGAAGTTAGTTAAAATGGTTGTAGATGAGTTTAGTGGTATGAAAGGAGTTTTATATGAGGAAATTCAGTGAAAAAATGATGAATTTTTGGGTGAAAAAGCCTGTTTTGAGCAGAGTGTATCGGTACCCTAAGTATTTGTACTGATACCCTCTTGAACGAAAAATAACAGAATGCAGTAAGGGTACCGATACCTCAAGGGGTGTATCGATACCCCTAAAGGAAAATTTGAATATTGATTCATTAAATTCGTTTAAGTTATTAGTATCAAGTTATAAGGTTTAGGCTTTTGATAATCGTCTCGGAAATTATGTTTATGTATATATCGAGCCTAAACGAGTTTCGGAACAAGTGACAAATAAGATTGATCGAGGGAAACGCAAAGAGATCTAGGTGAGTGCTTATGAATAGCATGATTATAGAAATATATTCAGTTCTAGACTTGTGATAAGTCTAGATTTAATATTTTGATATATGATTCATTTCATATTATGAAACATGATATGAGTTCATACCATATGAATTATGTGACATGAATATGCAGGAAAGGTTATATGAGCTACGTGATAAATGTATGGAAATGATATGTCTATAAGATACACTATGCAAATTATGAAAGCCCATGTTATGTAGATGAGAACTATAGGTATAGTTGGCATGCCAAGAGTAGAGGGTCTACGCGGTCCTTCGGGACAAATTCTGCGTGGTCCTTCGGAACATATATGTATTCTTTGGAACATGTATGAGGTCTTTTGAGACACCTACTTGATCCTTGGTATATGTATATGATTCTTAAGGAATTTCTATATGGTCCTTATGAACAAATTTTATATGGTACTACGGTGCAATTCTACCTGGCACTTCGGTACATTTCTATGCGGTCCTTCGGGACAAATTCTACGTGGCACTTCGGTGTAAATTTATACGAGTTGTGGTGGCAACATAGTGCACAACCTCACAATACTCACATACCTCAGGTTCTCAGTATTGTATCATGGGCTATTAAACTTATTAATGTGAATTCATGATGGATAATTTAATAAGATCAAGGGTAAGATACATGGTTATGTGATTTGCATGGATTGAATATATGATTTCATGATATTACATTTCATTATGACATTTTCATTATATTTTTATTGTCATTATTATTATGTCTCACTAGGTCTATGACTTAGTGTGTAAGCGTTTTACACATAGGTGTCAAAAAGCAGAAAGGTCCAATATAAGCTCAGCAGAACAACATATCTCCACTTGAAGATCAGATCAGAAGTAAATTATACAATATGTATTATTATGTGATAAATAGGTTGGCATGTAAACAAAGTCATTAAATTAAGTATGTGTGCTCTGATCGAGTTTTGGAATGTTTTAAACATAGTTATATAAATGGTAAATGTATAGTGATGAAAGTTTAAATTTTATGAGTTTTATATAATTGGACCGAAATTACTGTAACAAGGGTATCGATACACTTTAGCAGGGTATCAATACCCCTGTAGCATTATGGAAAATTTTTACTGTTCATTGTACTGTTCATTACTGTTCATGGTATTGTTCATTACTGTTCACAGTATTATTCATATCGTATATTACTGTTCATAAAAAAATTGTTTTTGCCTTAAATTTTATAATGAAACAAAATTTAATACTATATTAATGTATTTTCTTAATATAAGTTCAAATATTTTGTTATTTTGTAAGAATATTGTTTTAAAAAGTCAATGTGACATCTCATACTCGTATCTGGGTTTGGTATGGGTTGGGGGTGTTACAATTATTCCTGCAATAATGTAGCCATTATTGCTTCCATGCAGGGGACATATTGCATGCAGATCTTCACGGGAGTGAAGAAGGCATGCACCAAAGGAGAATGCATGGAAAGAGGGAGACGCTATGAGCTCCTGGTGTCTCCCCCATTTCAAAATTGGAAAACGCAAGGCTTCCAATACGTCTTCACTTTTATAGCCTAGACCCCAAAGTGACACTGATTCGACTGTAGTATTCGTCGTATCCCATGAAATAATTCAACTCAAGGATTTTTCGGGATTTTTCTTTCCCAAAACATTATCCTAAAAATTTTATAGATGAATGCATGAGTTATTTGTATGTAACTGGATTGTTCTCTCATTGTTCAGAATGTGTTTCCATTCACGAGTTCTTAGATGGACAGATCAAGGAGCTTTTCGCAAGTTTTTGATTCCAGCTTGGATCAAGCTTTCAGAGTCTGTTTTGGATATTTTAGTGGGCATGTATTATTCATAGACGTTATGTTTATTTAAATTGTAACTCTATTTTGATATACATACTATTATTATCATTTTGGGATGTATATTGGGAGCTTCCCACCTTTGTAAACTACATGACATTTATGTTTTTAACTAGTGAAATTGGTAAGGTTATTATGTTTATGGTCATCCATATTGTTATAGATTTCAAAAAAAATGATTAGTAATTTCGGTGATTTCGTGTAACAAATTGACCCCTTAGACTTCGTGTCAGTTCGAATTAAGGTGTCACATTATTTATTAAACCTTTGGCTACATCTATTTTCTTCTCTAGGTTCAGTGTTCTTTGTTGAAACCTTTCTTCCCTATGTTATTCATCTTTCACTCTTTTTTTTATTATTAATCTAGAAGGTTTACAAGTGGTAGAATTTATTTTAAAGACTCAACCATTTGACAATGAACGCTCAAATATTATGCAATTTATAGTACTCGAACCTGAAATCTCTAGGTTCAGTATCTTTATTGCTATTGATTTTGCTCCACAATTAATACCATATTTAATGTTTTCCCCAATATAGGTCGTTCATTCAAGTTTATTTCAAGTCGACATTTAACAAAATAAAAAAAAAGTTATGTCAAAGCAAAAATGACAAAACAAAAGATTAAAGTGATCATATATGATGCCTATCTTAGGCCATATATTTTCACTCTAGGCAATTCTATCTTTTCCCATCATGCTAGATTACATCGTTATTGCTAGTTTTTTTTTTATTTTTTATAACAATCGATTTTCAATCTATTGATTAATTAATTCATGTATGATACTATAGAAGTATATTATAGAAGCGACTTTTCCAATCTAATTTTCTCTATTCACAATGTTAGAATTCAAATTACTGATCTTATTTAAAAGATCTAATGTTTTATCTGATTAGATGAACAGATTAGCATTGTTATTGCTATAGCTTTACCACAGCCACCACTACTATCAAATATGAACAGTGCACAGTAATAAAGATTTATTTTTTGTGTGGGGCATTTACTCTTATGCTCGCCAATTATAACTACATTTGCACCTTCCGCAAACGGCCCCCACGCACGAATCTTTCTTCTGGGTGAAGCTGTTGTCAAAATCCCTTTAAAAGCAAAATAAAAAGAAAAAACTAAACAAGAGACAAGAAACTACAGAAAATGTCCCCGCAGGCCATTATCCGTGCTTTAACGTCCCGAATCAAAAAAAAAAAAAAACATTCGCAGTGATTCTCCTCCAACTCCCTCCCTTATTTCTAAAAATTAAAGTTTAATGATTAAACAATTGGTGAACAATAATGAATTTGATAACATCTTAATCGTTCGTCAAAAAAAAAAAGGAAGTTCATGTCGGTCATTCCCTGCATAGCAGACACTGATCATCATCCAAAGAAAGACTCTGGATGAGGACTGAAATGTCATGCGTACGCAAGTGGCAAGTTTTCTTTCACATTAAAGACCCAATATTGTTCCCAATCTTGTCGTTAGCGATACCCATAGTACAACACATGTTTTATTCCTTCTCGTACTATATCATGCTATGTCTGTCACTTCCCTCAAAATGGGTGATTCTTACGTGCCACAACATAATATAAGGGTAAAACACGGTGATACTAGGGCGTAATCAAAATAGTGATAAAAATCATAACAATTTAGGTTGGACGTAACTTAAAATGTTATAATCTTTCTAACATTTTTGGTTGAATCTAAAATGTTACAAAAATGTAACACTTTTTGTTGCCAACCGAAAATGTTAGGAAGAATATAACATTTTAGGTTGCATTTAGCCTATAATGTTATGATTCTTATCACATTTTCGGTTTCATCCAAGATTACTGTGTTTTAATCTTAAATTATGTTGTCGTACCTTTGACTTTTCCATGCCAATATACCCATTATTTTTTTAGGATAAGTTACACATGTAGTATCTAAAATTATTGTTTTTTGTTCCATTTTGGTATCCAAATTTTATTTTTAAAATCATATCTAACGTTTCGTTTAAGTTCCAATTTTGTACTCACAGTAAAAAAAATAACCGAAATGCTAACATGACAATAATACATTAGATAATAACATGCTATCTAACGTTAGATAATAGTCATTTATAGTACTTGATTTCATCGAGCCACAACTACAAAAATTAACAATAATACATGATTTCACAATCAAAATACATAAATACATCAAAGATGAGGTTCGGGTTATACAAGCATCAAACACGTCCACAACACAAACGCTTGGATCTTTTGAGTAAGAAATTGTTACCATATAGCACCATAATTCCTCACAACAATATTCACATATCTTTGTCGACACCGAAAGAGTCCGGCTATAAATACATGGCATTTTTTTGATAATCACACTCATGATTTTTTATTCTCATTCATCTTCATCTTAAATGGCAGAGAGCTCCATCCCAACCAGTTCATCTTCAGCTGATATGGCACCAGGTAAACAATCACCACTTAAACTATTCGGTTTTTCACTTATGGAGCAAGGGGAAGTTTTCGAGAAGCCCGAAGATTTCGAAGAAAACAAGAAATTCGAGTGTCCATTTTGCAACCGAGTATTTGCCAATTCTCAAGCATTAGGGGGGCATCAAAATGCGCACAAGAGAGAGCGACAAAGGGCTAGGCAAGCCCAGTTTCACAGCCATCAACGGTTCAAAGCAGCTGCTGCGCCTGTTTTGCGCCCTCATGCGGTAAGGTCGATGGCGCCGAGGTTTCCTACAGGATTCACCAGCAGCAGTGCTGGTAAATTTGTGCCACAACGGTCTGCTGGTCATTGTCCATCACGTCCACTGCTGCTTCCCTCGACTCCTAATCGGTACCCTCCTCAAATTTATGTAGTGCAGCCGCTGAATTTTACCGCAGCAGCCTCGGAATTTAGTCGAGTTCCTAGCAAATTGCCAAAGGCGGAGATGGGCATTGATCTTCATCTTAAACTCTCCCCTTCAGGTTGTTAGATTACATGTTTGTGTATGTACCATGTACATGGGTTTAAGTAATTAAAGTTTCAGTTTTCGGATTTCTTCTGTGTTTAAACTTGCATGTGAAAGTTGCTATATGTTGATATGAAAGGCTATAGTTCAATTCTTGGTAGCCTCATCCGTTTTTCGAAATTCACAATGATAAAAGATTATTTAATATTACCTATTGTTAGAGGTGTTGGTGGACACTCCATAAATTATCTAACTCGTAAAATATTATTAATATGAATAAACTACGATACAATATTAACTTCGGCTAGTTTACATATACCACACACAGCTTTCTAAACTCAATATCCCTCGTATTTTTTTTCTTTTACTAATACACATATATTTCATTTATCTAAAGTAAGAACCATATATATATATAGAGAGAGAAGAAAGTAAACCGCCAAACTTCGCTGCAAATTCACGCCATGTTTAACTTTAATTCTTCAAACCTTATTTTCTTGATATATAAGAACTGCCTAGACTGCTGCCAACTCGACTTAGCTTCTTCCGTGATTATGTTTGCTTTTAATTTCACATGGTATTATTTGCTGCCTATTTCATTAAGCTTTGTCGACGTCAAATTCTGATGCCACCCCAATTCTTCAATTAACAAACGGTAATTTATCAACCATGAATGGCTACCGGCTTTGCTTATTTCATGAAACTTTTAACTTTGCCATCCGAAATGTAAAATTAAGTTTGAATTCTAACACTCCCCTTTAAACTTGATTTTTCATTCCGAACTTTTCTTTAAGTCTGTTCAATGTGTCTGCTTTTAATGGTTTCGTAAAAATATATGCTAATTGATATTCGGTTAGACAACATATTAATTCCACATTTTTGTTTTTTCACATGTTTTCGTATAAAATGATACTTTTTTTATCAATGTGCCTGCTTCAACTCTAGAAGATAGGATTATAGGCAAGAGAAATTGTAGACTTGTTGCCAACATAAATTATAGTTGGTTCTTCATGTACCAAGTTTAGCTCGTTGCAAATATTCTTTAATCACAATCCTTAGGAAGTGCACGTTGCAGTGTATTCTGCTTCACATGTCGAAAGAGCCACCATTTGTTGCTTCTTTGATGACCATGAAAATGTCGCAAAGTTGATATGGAATAAATATCATAAGTACTTTTTCGATCATCTAAGTCTCCCCCATAATTGCTATTAGAATAACCAACCAACTTCGAATTTTCTAAAAGTGTGTAGAATAAACCATGATCTGTAGTACCTTTGACATATTGTAAAATTCTCTTTACTGCAATCCAGTGATCTCTTTTTGGCTTCTCCATGAATCTGCTTACCAATCCCACAACGAATGTTATGCATGGTCTTGTGATAGTCAGATACCTTAAACTTCCAACAATGCTTTTTAAACAACGTTGGATTTATTGGCTCTCTTATTGAATTTACACTTAATTTCATGCCTAGTTCTATTGGGGTGGTTACCTGCTTGAATTCTTCCATTATGAATTTGCTCAAAATTTGCTCAGCGTATTTTTTCTGGGAAATAAATACTTCATTTTGCATTTGTTTTACTTTCTTCAGTCGTAACTTTCTTGGAATCATTAAACATACTTGAATTATTTCTAGTAAAAATCATATCTTTCACATACAAGCACACGATCATAATACCACCATCTTCATTTTTGTTCTAATATAAGGCATGGTCGTATGAACTCTTACTGAACTCATTTCTCTAGAAGTATTCATCTATTCTCATGTTCCACGCTCTTGGAGCTTGTTTTAATCTATATAAAGCTTTCTTCTATCGATAAACTTTATTTTGATGCCCTTTTTTAGTGTATCCATGTGGTTACTCGATATAAACTTCTTCTTCTAGGTAAACATTAAAAAACTATTGACTTCACATCCATCTGATAAATCTTTCATTTGTTTTGAGTTGCAACTACTATGAGAAGTATGATGGTCTGGATCTTTGGTACTAGAGAAAATACTTCATCATAGTATATTCCTTGTCTTTGTTTGTAGCCATTGGAAACTAGTCTTGCTTTGTATTTCTATACTTTTCCTTCTTTATTGGTATTCATCTTATATACCCATTTGACTCCAATTGGGTTGTGACCTTTTGGTTGGTTTGCTAGTTCCCACGCATTATTTCTTTCTGTTGATGCAATTTCTTCATCTATTGCATTCTTCCACTTATCGTCTTCAATTGCTTCTTCATAGTCTATTGGATCACTATTTGCAAGTAAGTAGAAAAGTGAAACATTATTTAATTTGTAATCGTTGTACCTTTCTAGAATTCTTCTCTCTCTCGTAGATCTTCTAACTTCTGTGAGAGGTACATCATGATTTTATTATTCGTTGCTACCACTGCTACTACTCGATAATGGTGATATAGTTTAATTTTTTTGAGGACCTTGTTTATCATCTAGTTCATATTGATTGATAAGATCTTCATCATCTTTATCTTTATCAAAAAATAATCCTTCAACTTTCTTATCTTCTCTGCTCCATTTCTAGTATTCTGACTTGTTAAACTCGGCATCTCTTGAAATTATTACCTTATTGATAATAGGATTATAAATTATGTATACTTTACTTCTTTTATCATAGCCGATGAAAATATATTTCTCTTCTTTATCATCAAGTTTATTTATTGTTTTCTTAGGAATATGGGTGTATGCAATGCACCCAAAAATTTTGAGGCATCCAATTCCTGGATTTTGACCGCTCCATGCTACTTTTGGTTGGACATCAGTTCAATAGATAAGCTTCCCAATAAATTGTTTCAGCTGAAAAATTTCTCGATAGGTGTTTACTTTTTATCTCGCTCTTATCAAGGATTGGGCGATTTTTTCCTTTAGTAATTCCATTTTGTTGAGGAGTGTATCTTACAGTCAGTTGATGGATGATGTCATGCTCTTTGCAGAAGTCTTGAAATATATCTGATGTACACTCGCCTACTTTATCAAATCTGAGTATCTTTAAATAGTGTCTACTTTGCTTTCCGTCATTACTTTAAATTCTTTTAATTTCTTCAGTGCTTCTAATTTTTCTTTCAAGATATAAATCCAACTTTTTTGACTAAAATCATCAATAAAATTTAGGTAATACTTGTTTCCTCCTAATGATTGTATATCAAAAGGACTAGTTATATCAGTGCGTACTATATCCATTGGCCTTTGAGTTCGCCAATATCTGCCAAATTCAAAACTTTGTTTGTGTTGCTTTCCTTTGATACAGGCCTCACATAGTTGATATGAATGGTTGATTTTTTATAGTTCTTTAGCCATATTAGCCTTTGATAACAACTTTAGGCCCGAGAAACCAAGATGATCGTATCGTAGATGCCATAACCATGAATTATCTTTAATTGTTATCTTCATGCACTTGACTTCTCCTGACTCAATGTTAGTTGACAAAAGACGATTTTGAGTCATATCAACTTGGGAAATTAATACTTTATCTTTTTTTGATGATAAGGGAGTGATTCTTCATTTCCACTTCATATCCTTTTTCTAGAAGCTGACCAAGGTTGATAATATTGCTTTTCTAAGCTAGTACATAATAAACATCCGAGATGTATTTATTTTCACTATTTTTTTAGTGATAATAACTTTGCCTTTTCCTTTTACTTCTGCGTGCAAATAGTAACCAAAAATTACTCGACCATGAAACGTTTCATATAACTTCACGAAAAGCTCCTTTTGGCCACACATGTGGTTGTTTGCATAGTTATCGAGATTCCAAATATTTTTCTTAGATTCTCTATTTCCTTTATAAGTCAGGAATACATGGTAGCCTTCAATATTTTCTTCTTCAGTTGCTACTACATTGTTTCTTTCCTCTAGTATGGGAACTGGTCTACACTCGTAACTATAGTGATCATATTTATTTCAATTAAAGCATTGTACTTGTGATTTCTTTCCCAGTTGATATCTACCTCGACATCGACCTCTGAATCCTCATCCATGGCTTGATGTATGGAAGTTTTCACTCTTTTTATTAGTGGCATATGATCGACCACCACGTCCTCGTGTTCCTCATCCTCCTCTATTTCTTCTATGATAACAACCACGATTTCCTTGACCTCAATTATAGTTACTGCTTGTTTTACCTTTTTTTGATATTTAACTTGCTTTGTAGAGCTTGCTCTAAATTTTCAAAATTTTCATTTTGCTTCATCTTCTACTCGTGAGCTTGAAGTGAACCTACAAGCTCATTGATCGATATTTGGGAAAAATCTTTCGACTCATTAATTGCCACGACCACGTAATCAAATTTTTGTATCAATGACTACAAAAAATATTTCATCACTCTGACCTCGTCGAGTGATTCACCTTTTCTTTTCTTTTCATTTACCACTTATTAACCCCATAAAAAAGGTATATTTAATGTATGTATATTTCATGCCTTTTTACTTGGGTTATTGATTATTCAAAACCCTATTTAGTTCCATTTAGTTGCATTTTAGCCCATGTAGTTGCGTTTGGTGGTGTGTTCTTGTTTCTTTCTATTTCTTTATGAATTTCATGCTACTTAAAGGAAAAGGTGGTATTTTTGTGGTGATATGAGCAGGTGAATGAAGTTGAGGGAGATTTGGGGAAATGTTTTAGCATACTAGCTATGGAGATATTGGAGCAATGCTGCAGTATTTCTTGATGACATTCCTGGGTGCACAAAAGGATAAAACCTTGAAGATATTTTATTCTTGTATTACGTGAAATCCTTCTGTCAGTTGCCCATGTGACCTCAACAATGCCAATTGTCTAGCCTACATATATGAAGGGAGAGAATTTGAAAAGTATAAAATAAGAGAGAAAAAATGTAGATACTCTCAAAACTGCTCATTCTTCCTTCTTCAAGGGTTCCTCCATTAACAAACTCCAAGGAGATAGTAAACTAGGCCTTTGAGAGAAGCTAGCGAGCTAAGGGTGGTTCTCGGTGGTTTATAATAACTCACGACATTAGGAGTTTTCTTTTCTCATTTCTTGTTGTTAGCTTCATTTATTCTTG